GTTCCCCCTGATACAGTCACTGGCATTGTAATCCAGTATATGTTGGAAAGCACCAGGTTGAAGATAGCAGTCCTGGATTATACCACTCAGGTAAAGGTAAATAGGAAAGATGTGTACTGCTGTGCTGTTTACACTTTAATTTGATTTGTGAAGAGACTGGATTTTGGATTTATGTTGCATATGTTGTACAGAACTTTTCCCCCATTGCTAATTGTTATATTTGCAATAAAGTGCAGTCCTATGCTATTACAAGGATTCTAAATGTAATAATAATAAAGTTGGAAGGGACCTTGGAGGTCATCTAGTCCAACCCCCTGCTCAGGCAACCTTGGCTCTTTTATGACTCGTGGACTTCAACTCCCAGAATTCCTGAGCCAGCTATGTTATGCTGGCTCAGGAATTCTGGGAGTTGAAGTCCACGAGTCATAAAAGAGCCAAGGTTGCCTACTCCTGCCCTATACCATTTCAGACAAACGGCTGTCCAGTCTCTTCTTAAAAACTTGCAGTGTTGGAGCATTCACCGCTTCTGGAGGCAGGTTGTTCCACTGGTTAATTGTTCTAACTGTAGGAAATTTCTCCTTAGTTCTAGATTGTTTCTCTCTTTGGTTAGTTTCCATCCGTTGCTTCTTGTCCTGCCTTCAGGATGAGTTATGAGTTAGCTAGTGATATAAAGGAGTCAGAAAGTATAAGGTGTCTGATTCATATAAAAAAAAACATGTTATATTGCAGTGGTACCCAATTCATGTGGAAGGAAGAGGAAGAACTTTGGATACTCATTCTTATGCTCTTATTATCAAGATACTGCATAAGAAAAAAATAAATTGAAATTGTTACACAGTTTGCTCACTTACACCTTTATTACCGGCATGGTATAATCAGTTGGCTAAAGCTACTCATGTTATTACTGAATGCAGATTCAAAATGAAAATTGTTGTTAGTTGCGAAGTCGTATCTGACCCATTGCGACCCCATGGACAATGTTCCTCCAGGTCTTCCTGTCCTCTACCATTTTCTGGAGTCCATTTAAGCTCACTCCTACTGCTTTAGTGACTCCATCCAGCCACCTCATTTTCTGTCGTTCCCTTCTTCTATTGCCCTCAATCTTTCCCAGTATTAGACTTTTCTCCAGTGAGCCCTTCCTTCTCATTAGGTGGCCAAAGTATTTGAGTTTCAACTTCAGGATCTGGCCTTCTAAAGAGCAGTCGGGGTTGATCTCTTCTAGGACTGACCGGTTTGAACGCCTTGCAGTCCAAGGGACTCGCAGGAGTCTTCTCCAGCACCCTAGTTCAAAGGCCTCAATTCTTTGGCGCTCAGCCTTTCTTATGGTCCAACTTTCACTGCCATACATTGCAACTGGGAAAACCATGGCCTTGACTATATGCACTTTTGTTGGCAGGGTGATGTCTCTGCTTTTTAGTATGCTGTCTAGATTTGCCATAGCTTTCCTCCCCAGGAGCAAAAAATGAAAATGCACTGCCTTAAAAGCCAGCTGCTATTATAGGGTGGGAAGTATTGTCAGTCAAGCTGTAATAAAATAAATGTGGATACTCAACTATCCAGAAATTGCACTCTGGCAATTTAGAAATTCAATTTGTAAATATTTTAGATTTTCTCTACTATTTTAATATATATAATTCTGATTAAGTTTGTATTATCACAACCTAATTTGTTTAAAATGTTCCACTTATGAGCTCTATATTTTTTATGAAATGCATACAATTTAATAAAAGTTACTTTAAAACTAAAAAAGTATCCTATTTGTTGCTCTAATCTGTATTATTTAGTAGAATGATATTCCACTTTTTGTGTAAGAGTTTATGAGATGCACACCATATAGGATATGCTCTATCCTATTTTTCCCGCAGCAATCACCCTCTGAGGTACCGTAGGATGTGCTGATAGCAAATGATTTCCTCCAAATCAACCAATGAGCTTCAGTGGCTGAGAATTAAACATATTTCCTCAATACCAGTCCAAACCTTTCATTATTATATCACAATCTGATAATAGCTTTGGAATGATCTGCTTCCAATGCTTTGAAACAGCTTTGCAAATACACATTAAGAAAATGTTCCACTGATGCAACTGCATAATTTAAGTTTCCTTGATAGCAGCTAGTAATTGTTAATATTTATTTTCTATTAATGGGTTGATATTGTTTTTTCATAGATATTTCTATTGAACTAAAATAAAACTAAAATTAGGTATCAAAAAGGGATATTTTTGAGTTCCAAATACAGAGTAGAGCAAAGACTTCAGAGAAATATTTCCAAATAATTTCTGGAGAGAAAAGTCATTTCCAAAATAAGATTGGTTTGCAACTCGGATATTTTTTACTGCCAATATGATAATTGTTTTGTGAAGTGTAGAATTAATACATCACTCAAATTATGCTTCCTCATTGTGGTAGTGGTATGTGTCCTTGAGAGAGATGAGCAAAAAACACCAGGAATGTACATTATGAATATATAGATTCCTAGCAAGATCATGAAAAATGTAAAAGCAAACAAGTAGCTGTATCAGGCCACTTGACAATGGCAAAGACATTTTGTACAGTATTGCATAAAAGAAAGCAATGGTAAACTACTGTAATTAATAAAGGCACAGAGATAATGTAATTTCTGTGCTTGATGTTGAGCTTCTTGGGTCAGATGGCACTGAACATGCTCCTGAGGAACAGCTGGGGCTCTGTTGGAGTACTACAGCGTTCGTGGTGTGACTAGATGAAAGCCTTAGGAACATCTAGTTGCTGTGTTGGCTTATTGTCATGCAGGAAAAGAAAATCCAAAGCTACAAAGACAGATTACAGTGGGAACATAGAACGTAAGTATAAACTTGGGAAAGTTCAACACAGAAAAAGATGAAGTAAAGTGGCTTCATACTGATGCTTTAGCCATCAGAAAATGGACAATTCAGTTTACTACTTAGGGCACAAAGATCAAGTGTTGCTTTAATAGGAAGGGTGGAGCAAGAACTATTTGGGTACAATGCAGTCAGTGGCTGAATAATATCAGACTTCACAGACAACCCTTTAACGCAGTGGTTCTCAACCTTTTTAATGCCGTGACACCAACCGGTCGTAAGTCGAGGACTAAACCGGTCGTAGGTCGAGGACTACCCAGCCGGTCGTAAGTCGAGGACTTTCCCTGCCCGGGAGCGCCGCGCATGCGCGGTTCCGCCCCCTGTGCCGGCCGAGGCGTAGCTGGCAAGCGGCAGAGACGGAGCAGGCCGACCACCAGCTGGCCCAGCTCAAGGGAGGTAAGGCACCCGCCGGAAAAGGGAAAAAAATGGCGGACAGCCTTGCTTGGCGACCCCTGTGAAATGGTTGATCGACCCCAAATGGGGTCGCGACCCATAGGTTGAGAACCGCTGCTTTAACGTGATAGTTAAGTTTATGTTCCAATCACTGATGTAGAAAAGGAGGTTCTAATGTGGTTTATAGTCAAGTTCAATCTGACATCAAGAAAACATGTAAGATGTGCTTCTATTGGAGACTGGATTACCAAAGTTGGAAATAGTAAGGAGGAAAATCTTCTGAAAATATTATTAGCCTAAAAAACAAAAATGGATCTGGAGAAAAACTTAATCAGTTTCTGCCAGTCGAATGATTTTCTAACAAGCCTATATATTACATTACCAGATGTAATATCTAGAAATTAAAGTGGCTGTGCAGAAATTATATTGACCTCTACAAGGAGGTGTAAAAAGACTGAAGATGGTATTAGGAATGGAAAACAAGACTTCCAAAATAATCTCTGAACTCAAATGGAGGTTCCATGCTTGAATTGGTATACTAAAAAACACAACTGGATAGCTAGACCTGTTGGGAAAGGTGGAAGAAAAGGTAAGAGGACAACCATCAGCAAAGTGGGTGGATTCAATTTTAGTGGCAATGGGTGCAGCTTCAGAAGGTCAAATGGGGAAAATGGGAAATGGATCATACTAGAGAAGTTCTATCTATGGGGTTACTAAGAGTCAACATTAACTTGATGGCACATAAGCAAAATAATAAAAACTAATACATTATCTGCACAACTTGAATAATTGGTGCTCTACTGTCTGAATATATTTGGAAATCATGTCTTTACAGCAGCCCAAAATGAATGTTCCTAGAGTTTTGTATTTTATCAATATACAAAATATGACAATGCAGAAAGCTGAATGCTGCTAAATTTCAATACTTGTTTATACAGGAGCCATTCCCAAATTAAAGCTGCCTCATTTTTACATTGCAACTATTTGTAATTATTGAAACATCTCAATTTAGAATCATTTTTTTCTATTTCTAAAACTATGTTACAAATCAGTAATAAAACAGACATTGAAAGGAGAACAGAAAAATGCAAGATTTCAACATTGAAATATATTCCTCACTAGTGATAATAGAAAAAAGTGTTCATAAAGAGAATAATAAAATGTTTTGAAAAAAATTTTAATGCAATCTTCCGCATTTCCAAATTAAAATGTGGGGTGAGGAGACTTTTTTGATTACAAGACATTCTGCAATTTGATTTTCATTTTCTTAGCATTTCTAATTGAAAATTGAAGTGAAAATAAACATGGATTATCATAAAATGCTTCTGAGAATTATAGTAATATGAAAGTACCCTTCATTTCATTGCATTATACATTTCAATCATTTTAAAGTACTAAATATTGCCAAATGAGTCTGGTCTGTAATCCAACAGCATATTCAGCTCTTCCCCTTTTTATCTTAAATTATAAATCATTGGCTCTTGTATATGTGTATATGTGTGAGTGAGCATGTGCGCACACGCACCACACATCCCAAATCATAAATTACAATAATAGAGTTAACATTCACAAAGAAACATACTGGGATACTTGTGAAAATCATGCCAGATGGCTATTATCAATGCTTAAAGATGTAAATACTTGCCATTTACAATACTATATGGCTAATATAAGGTCATTAAGAAGTGAGAGATCTGTTTCAAATGTAAAATATTTAGTCAGAATGAATCACAAGGAACATAATGTAACTGCTCTTTGCAACTGTTCCTTTATTATATAAATATTTTTCTTTTTTGAAACATTATACTTTTTTATTTATTTGGAAATATTAGAAGAAAGAAGATTTTATCAACATGTAGAGACATTTACTTTAACTTTTTAGACCAAATCTATGGAACCAGTTACAAAAAGTACAAGAAAAGGAAAAGCATAGCCATCACATTTTATCACAAAGAGATTTAATGAGAATCGCCTTGACTTGCAACACTCAAGGTTGTGGTATCACTCTGATGTTCAGAGCAAAATTGGCCTCTATTGATTCACTATTCTTGTGCTATATGTATATGGACTTTTTCATCCTGATTTATATTTACTCCTCTTTAGGATCAAAACACCGATGGTTGTGTATCATTAGAAAGATTTATAGTTACTCCTCTTTAGGATCAAAATACTATGATTGTATATCATTGGAAAGATTTATATTTACTCCTCTTTAGGATCAAAATACCGATGGTTGTATATCACTGGAAAGGTTGATCAGCGTTAGACATACAAGAGTCTATAAGGTCATTCCGCTTCTCCTCTTGGAATCTTTCCGAGCAATTGGGCTGAATGACAGTATTTCACTGTAAATATGCCCTTTAAAAATAAGCAAAATTTACATACATGTAAGTGCATTTTTGTTCAAACAATAAAGGCACACTGAGCACATTTTAATAAATTATAATGGATGGAGGATCGAATGCAGCTGAAAATAGCTGTTGCTATCCTAGTATAATTTTTAAACAGCAATAAAAACAATAATAAGAGGTGGCAATATTTCATCTTATAATACATAGGACCTCCTAAACTGCTCAATTTTTAAAAGGTTGTAAAAGACCAATTCTTACTAGTAGCCCATTCTATTGAATTTCCTCTCACAAAGGGATGGGTAATTTCTCTTGCTGTATTTAAATGATATTTAAGAACATTATTATAGGTGGCATTTTATGTTACTTTTATTAAGTATGGAGTTAGTTGACTAGCTGTTTTTTAAAACCTTTTAAATGTTATGATTTTATGATCCCACTATATTGAATTGTATATTTAGTATTATACTGTTTTGAGTGCTATCTTGAAGATAACAAATAATACATGGCTAAGAAATGCTTTAGATATGTGAATACTTAATAATTAAATGTGGACTAAAAAAATGGACCTGTCATTGATAAACTTCAGTTTATTAGATTTATCAGTTCATCTCTTCAGTATAAGTGAGTCCTGTTCTAGCTTGTCATTCCATATCATAGACCCAAGAATGTACCCACTGCAAGGTGGGCTGTTCACTGCCTTTATTAAGGTTTTATAGAAAAGGATTATAAATCAAGATATGCTTCTTTAAGTTTTCATCTTATCTTCCAAACTAGGCTATTACCTGCTGGCTCTTACTTTTATCTAGTAGATTCATTTCCTGCTGTGTACCCCAGGCTTTAAGCAGTTAGGGTTATTTAATTTTTAACATTATAAAATGTTATATTATGTGAAGAATACTTCAAATGTGGTTTATCCATAAATTCCCAAGAATTTTTCTATCAGAAAATGGAAGAGTGCCTCATTTCCTTTTTCACTTGCTAGAAAGATACCACCAACCAGTTTTTAACTATATTCTTTCCATACATGCCGTGTTTCCCCAAAAATAAGACCTGGTCTTATATTTTTTTTCCTCCAAAAAGGCAGTAGGTCTTACTTTCAGGGGATGTCCTATTTTTTTCCCGACATCTGCCTTGCCTCATGGTGGTGGCACTAACAGCCCCGTCCAGCAGGAGCTTGCGTGGCCACTTGCAGCCGCTCACAGCAGGAGGCCATGTAGCTCACTGCACTGTGCTGCCACCATGAGGTGAGACAGGTGGAGGAGGAGTGGAGCTGCCTCAAGCACCTCATGGGTGCCCAAACACTTTTCGCACAGATGGAGAAATTACGGAGGCTGGAAGCTTCATCTGCTTGAAAATGGGGTGATTGGAAACGGAATGAATCCCTCGGTTTCCACACACCCCATTTGCAAGCAGACGAAGCTTCCAGTCTCCTTCTGGGCGAAAAGCGCACAAAGCGTCTGGACCACCTGCCTCCCCCCGCCTCTGCCTCTGCACTGGACTTACCTGCGCTGCTTCAAGGAGCCAGTGGGCTGCGGCTGCTGCTAGACACCGTTGCCCCCCCCCCCCCGTGCGGTTGTTGCCACTTGTGCTGGCCAGTATTATATTAGGCCCACCCCAAAAAATCAGGCTAGGGCTTATTTTTGGAGTCAGTTTTATTTTGGGGAAAACACGGCACATGAAATTTAACATGCCCATAGTTGTCAACTAGGCCAATAACCATCATGTCCTGTTCTCCACAAGATTCATAAGTCTAATGAGAGGGTTTTTTTGTTAAAAAAAGTATTCTGGTGAGATCTGAGCTGCTTATGGCATATAATTTGGTGGTGTCTTTAGAAAGTATTCCTTTCATTACTCTTTTTTTTTCTTTTTCCTTTCCCCTTTTGAATAGTCCCTGGTCTTTATACTTTAGGAGACTTATTTCCCAAGTGCTTCTACTTGACACTCAAACTTAAACCTAAAATGAGAAATGTGTTGGTGGATTAAGTGTCCCTCATCATGGTGATGACGAAATGCAGTGTGGTGATGTTTCCATATTATATTAAAGTGTGCTGAATTTTTGTGTGTCTTCTTACCCAAAGAATTATGGGGTAAGTAATACTGGTAAAAAAGACTGGGGGAGTTACCCACAGGATTTTTCTTAATTAGTATTTGTGTAGGCCAAGTTGCAGTCTATACTCCTAGTTATGAATTTTATCTACTTCAGAGAGAACCTGTACTTCAGACTGTATTCAAAATTAATATAGCTAGTTATTAGGTATGGAGGAACTGAAGGATTTCAGGTTCATTAATTCTAATGAGGATTGCACTAAGGGCAAGGATATATAAAAACTGTCCAGCTGAACTTACTTCTCCATTCATTTATTGAAAGCTTTGTACTCCCTATGGAATCATCATAGGAGTGCTGGGCTTCTGTCTCTTCCTCAACGTCTCTGAATGGATCAAAATATGAATGGGCCAGAGCTTGGGTTGCTGTGAGTCGTTTTTCTACATCGAGCTGCAACATTTTGTCAAGCAAGTCCACGGCTGCAAGGAAAGATATAAATATTATAAAAATTAAAGAAAGCTATAATTGTGTATTATAGGAAGGATAAATCTAAAAGTTTAAAATGGCTGGCAAACTAAATTGGCTAAATTTGCTTCATCCACTTTTCACATTTCAGTAAACAAATATAAGTGGCTCACTACTATAGCTGAAGCTTATTGTAGAAGGAACTTGAAGCAATATCCTTGAAAAACCTCAGTACTAGATGAACCCAAATATAAGTTAAGTCACTTGACCTATATATGATAAAGCTTACAACGTAGTTAAATTAGGTAGAAGGATTCAGCTTGATGCATTGTAAATTGGCATGTAACTTCAATGAAGTTTAACTTTTAAAACATCTTTGTTGGACTTACAGGCCACTTTACAAGATATCAAGCTGAACCCTTCTATCTAACTACTTTATCATTCGGAATTTGAGGCAGGGTGGAACCCGAGTGACTTGACTCATATTTGTAAATTTTACCATTACATTACTGGTCAGTTCTCATCATGGAGTCAGTGAAGAGTTTCTTCTCATTAAAGTAGAAGTTTTGGAAAAGTGCTCTTATCCAAACCATAGTGGGGAGGTAAGAGTAAAATTTAGAAATATGTAGGAAATGGAAAATACTTTTTATTTGAAAGTCAAAATAAAATTCAAATATTCTTGAAATGAAACAGTGGAAATGGGACCACCTAATGTTCCCTTCAAAATCACAAAACTGTGCCTCACTTATTTTGGCCATGACGGAGAATTCACTGGAGAAAGCAATTATGCTTGGAAGAGTTATCGCTAAAAGGAAGCCAGGCTGCCAAAGAACATGATGACTGGACACCATCAAAGTTGACACCAGTCAGAGTTTAGAATAACTAAAAGAAGTAGTGCTAGATCAGAAGATGCAGAGAGACCTGGCCCATAGAATCGCCAAGAGTCAGACATGACTGAATGGATAACAACATCATCATCATCATCATCATCATCATCATCATCATCATCATCATCATCATCATCATCATCCCCTTGTTCCTTTTTTTTTCATCCCAAACGCAAGAGGAAATTGCAGTGCAGAGCATACTGACTGCTGCTAGCCAATTGGCAGAAGAAATGATCATGGTATGATTATTCAAAAAAACAAATTCCCACTTGAAACAAGAATACAGACCTGCTCTTATCCACTGAGAAGAGAGTTACAATTGTTTACAATATGTTAGTAAAATCTACATCTTGTTTCAGCAGGAAAGTTTCTTTCAGTTCTGTTAAATAAATCTGGAGGTACTGAGATAATCTCTGGTATTCAATTAATATTTTTTTTCCAATCTGAAGATGTAAGGTCATCAAGTGTTCAGATTCTATTTCCATAAATCCCTATCAGGTTTCCTTAATGTTTTCAGTATGTGCCTGCCAAACGTCAACAAGCCACAACAACATTCTTTTATTTATTGTTAAATCAATTATTATATTTATTTGCTGCCTATCTCACAGTTTGAGATGACTCTATGCACGTTGCGATGTGATAAAATTATGCTGGTATTCTTAGTGTTTATGTAACATCAGCATTGTTAACAAAACTTGTATTAGAAGCACACAGTACATATGTAGATGCATTTGGCTTGTCTGCTTGCAAAATTAAGCACAGACAGTACATATGAACTTTAACTGGGACTCATTCACTTGTAAATGCTAATTTCCCCTAACAGTTTTATTTTAAAGGGGGGGGGGACACACATATTGGCTAATCATCTGGCTCAGAGCAATCTTTTCTCTGCTCCTGTGCTTAACTACTTCTCAACACTCACTCCCATATCATCAGATCCTGTCTAAGCAAATTGTAGCAGGGATATGGTTGGCCCCTGCTGTCATACCGGCTCAAGTAGAAAACATGTGGGTAAGAAAAGGCAACCCTGTCACAAGGCACAAAGCAGTCCAGTTGGCGTGCTAGCAGTACTTGGAACACTCCACCACATGACACTAGTTGAAATGGTAAAGTTATACTCTGGGATTGGATCCAAACTCTTGCAACTCCTGTTTTGTTTTGAATACCAAAAATGCCACTTGTGGCTGCTAAGCTGGAGAAGACTGGCATGTAATACAACATTTACTTTAGAATATTTCCCATTATACTCAAGGGGTTTTATTTTGACAACAACATCCAGAGGGTAATACATTATTCATGCTTAATTACATTTTGAAGATTTCTGTGTTATCAAAGCCGCACAGAATACGCTGGCTCGGCTAGAATCATAAAAGAGATTGTTTTGACATGTTCATCTGTCATCTGAATAAAAGTTAAATAATACATTTCAATCTTTCTGAGGAATATTAGTTTTATCGTAAATTAAAACATATAAAAGAACTTACCCAGAGGACTGGCTTTGGGTAAAAGCAGAGATAAATCCATTTTGGGAATTTTAGGAAGTGTCTGTATGTAGTGTTTAGCCTAAAAGAAATAACATTTTTATACAGCCATACAAATATCACCTTTGAAAAGTTACATCATATAATCAACTCTTTATAGATTAATTAGAAGCTCACATATCGGCCATACACTTCTTTTATACGAAGTAGTCAAAGGTCCACATTAGCCTCCTTTGAGCTATGTCGTACATAAGGCAAAGTAATAATTTTACTGTAATAAGAATAATAATATGACTTCATGGCTCCTAATATTTGCATACCTCTTTATATCAAGATGGAAGCTTGTAATCTAATGTATAATACGTTGCCTAATTTCATATAATGAGAGAGTGAGGAAGGCGAACAACTGGGAGAGAAACTATTCAAGCCCTCTAATAAGAGTGGCCTCTTCCCCCTGCTAGTTAACTAGGTAAGGAGGGCAATATAGAAAATGGGATTCAGGAAAAGAAAGAAAGGTCATTTTTAAGGAAGAGAAAAAAAGGGCATCTTTCATCCCTATCTGGCTTTGATGCTGCTCATCTTAAGAGCAATGATTACCACTTCAAAAAAATATCTTTATGGTTCAGATGACAGTTTCTGCCTGTTTATCCTGATTTCTCCAAGTAAATAAGGTGCAATACTAATCAAAAATTAAACCAAAGTAGGATTTGCACCTAAATAAACATGCATAGTACTCCATCTTCAGTTTATGGAAATGAGACCTTTCAACTTACTGATCTCTGAATATCTACATTCCTTTGCCATTTTCATCAGAAGAATCTGTCTGTCTACAAAGATGCTTTCTCACGCTATGTTTATAGCAAGCATGTTCCAACTTATTTTGGCCTTTTTTCAACACTTTTGTCATCCCTTTTTCAATTTTGATAATGCAATAGCCTGTCCATGACAGGAAAACCTTCTTATAAGGGCAGGGAAGGCGTTTTTCATCAGGCTGTGGCAGTGGTGGGATTCAGCCAGTTCTCACCAGTTCAGCAGAACCAGTAGCTGATTTTTTTGTTGCCCAAGCTCAGAATGGACTTCCAGAAGCGGCATCCACACAGAGAACCGGTTGTTCACATATTTGAATCCCACCCCTGGGCTGTGTATAGAACAGGCAAGCCAAGGCCATTTTCCCTTCGCAATTCTGCTTTAGAGAAGGAAAGTCCATTTGCAGATGTCTTTCTCCAGCTGTTAGAACACCAGTATTTCATTTAATTTCAGAGTTGGTGTTCAATGATTTTTGTCAGGAGTTGAATGCAGCCAACAATCCTCAACAGCGATGCAGGAATAAACAAGTACGAATGACTATTAATAATGCATATTATAAAACTCAAAAGTTATTAAAACAAAATGCTGGTATAATATTCAGCTTTCTTGTCAGAGAAGCTTACAGGGGTGGTAGTTTAAAGCACTTGATTAAAGCTAGGAAGATACCCATCTCATCAGTTTTCTCTATTTTATCTGACAGGGTTGTTGGGAAGATTAATGGGGCTATGAGAAAGCACATTACTTTGAGTTAATTGGAGGAGCGGTGGTGGATATATATGTACAATAAGAGTTGACATCATTTTAAACAGTTGGGCAGAAAGTTAAACCTTCTAAAACAATAAGAACCTATGAGTTTGCCTCTAAAATGCAAAATAGAGTTTCTTACCGCTTTGTCTTCCAGTTTTTGCACAAACTCCTCTCCAGGGTTTCCTGTCACTTTCAGGATCTGGGTCAGCTGATCAAGATCTGGGAGGCTGAATCAAGTATTACTAACGGGCCAGACACTGAATTTGACAATTCCCCCCCCCCTTCATAAATGGCTCCATTTACCATATATTTATCCTACCTTGTCTATAAAAGGGCAAGGTATATACTCGTTGTTTGCATCACTAGACTGAGAGATATTGAATCTTTCCTGCTAGATCATTGATGGTTAGGGAGAATAAAGCCTGGAACCCACAATTGTTTGTGTTAAAGTATAGATAGTCCTCGACTTACAGCGGTTCATTTACTGACTGTTCAAAGTTACATCACTGAAAAAGTGACTTACTGTATAACCATTTTTCACACTTACAACTGTTGCAGCATCCCCATGGTCACATGATCAAAATTCAGATACTTGGCCACTGATCCATATTTATGATGGTTGCAATATCCTGGGATCATGTGATCCCCTTTTGCGACCTTCTGACAAGCAAAGTCAATGGGTAAACCAGACTCACTTAACAATTGTGTTGCTAACTTAACAATTGCAATGATTCACTTAACAACTGTGGCAAGAAAGGTCGTAAAATGGGCAAAACTCACTTAACAAACCTCTCACTTAGCAACATAAATTTTGGGCTCAATTGTGGTCATACGTTGAGGACTACCTGTAATATGAAAAATTTCAGAATATCAATTTATATCAGAAATGTTTAACAGCATAATGTATGACAGTGGTGGTGAACCTATGGCATGTGTGCCAGAGGCAGCACTCAGAGCCCTCTGTGTGGGCACACGCGCCGTCGTCCCAGTGCTACCTCCCCCACGGCCCCCTCCTCACCAGCAGCCCCCCTGCAGGAGAGTTGCCCCTGGGCATGGCCCACAGAGAGCAGTGCAGCCAGGCAGCAGGGACAAGACTCGGCCCTCGCACTCTGTCGTGCACAGATGATGCTGTGGGGTGTGGGCGGAGGGCGTGGCCAGCATGGCGCTGCTGGGCCGCCTGGGCAATCTGCTGCGGCGGGTGGCCCTGCAGGTAGTCGGGACGGGGGGCAGGGCAGTTTTTGGGCACTTGGTCTCTAAAAGGTTCGCCATCACTGATCTGTGATCTCCTACCTAAAAATGCATTTCCATCAACAGAGATAAGTGTGCATGTCAGTGTTCAGACTGCTGAAGAGGTTGGCAGTTATCCAAGCAATGAGCAGATGTAGGCTGCCTCACCTGTATAGAAGCAGCAGGCCTCTTCCCACTTCCTAGCCCCATCCACCATAGGCACAATCAAGGGTTTACTGACAATTCATAGATGCCTCATTTGAAAGAACAGCAGTTGCTAGAATTCTTGTGTATATAGTAACCTTAGCCTTCCTTCTAGTGCAGGAGTGTCAAACTGGTGACCCGTGGGCTGGATGTATTATATGCAAGCCACACCCACCCTGGCTCCACAAAGGCAAAAAACATCGTGATACAGCACGATACATCACATGATGCGACTGAGTTTGACACCTGTGTTCTAGTGAATCTTGGAACTCTGCAGAGAAGGAGAGAGAGGGGATGCTGGATGTGGTCATTATAGAAGACTTTATAAATATAAATGTGGTTGAACTATGTCATTTCACAGAAAAACTGTGTTTAGTTTAAGAAGCTGCAGATGGGGCTGTGCAGAAATTGAGAAACTGGCGTAGTTTGATTATGTTTCAGTGGGGGGTTTTTTTTTACGGGTGTGTTTTTAGAACAGGCCAGTTATTTAATTCGATTTTAAAACAAACTATTTATTTATTATTGTGGTTTTTAGTATCGCCTGTTCACCGCCCTGAGTCCCGCAAGGGAGATAGGGCGGTATATAAATTTAATAAATAAATAAATAAATAAATTTGGAGAACATGTGGACATACACGAGGGCATGCATGTCAGGACCACCTTCAGCCAAGCATGACTTTTCCCAGGATTGTCTATGGAGATTCTCAGTCATCCAGGTCATAGTTGTCCTAAAGATGCTTTTTCACAACTGGACTTTCTTGTTTTTCTTTGAAGACATTTCGCTTCTCATCCAAGAAGCTTCTTCAGCTCAGTGAAGCGAAATGTCTTCAAAGAAAAACAAGAAAGTCCAGTTGCCTCATGAAAAAGCATCTTTGGGATTTTCCCAGGATTATGCATCAGCTGAAGAGGGCAACTCCATGAGTCCAGAAATAGAGACAACAGTTTTAGAGTGTTGCTGACAAATACAACATGTGCCCCCATGCTTGTTCTTAATCCCATTTTTCCCACCATACCCTGATCTCTGCCCAATCTGAACAGACAGGAGCTATATTGGTGCTCAGTGCTCCCTGAAGTAATTTTTGCTTTTGAAAATGAAGCCTTGCACAGTCTATTATACATTGATTGAACACAGCTAAAGATCCACCCGTGATGAACATCAAGCATCAAAGGGAGAGAGAAACATTAAATAACCTTGTTTGCCACAATTTTGCTATTACTTAAAATCCTGTAACATGTGAAAATAGATTTTTAGAGTAAACAGAGCCCACCGTAATTACTTTTTGCAAGTATAAGTATTTTGAATTTTCATACTAGACTTCTTCCTACTGGTAACCCTCTACATCAGGGATGTCGAACTGCCAGCCTGTGGGCCAGACGCGTCACACGGAAGCCATGCCCACCCCATTGCCGGCAATGGCAAAACCGTCCTGATACATTGCGTGACGTCACGTGACGTCGCGAGTTTGTCATGTGTGCTTTACGTTATTTATATTTTCAGTCCAAAGTATGAGAGCATCAGTTTCAGACAGGGGCACAGAAAAGGATACAGTCTTTACCCTTAAACAGAGTTTTCCCAGTCAACATTTCTGCCATGATACAACCAACAGACCAGATGTCCACTGTTTGGAAGTGAGAGAAATATACAAGAAAGGATTTAATGCTAAGGTTTGAAACAGCAGCATTGGAAACTAAAATACACATTTTACGCATGCTTGTAACAGATCTGCTTGTTTACAAGTTACCTTACTGTACCTTTAGCTATCAGACCTGGGCTGCAAAAATCCAGACAAGATGCAGCCAAGAGATTCAGAAAAGTCTGACTCCTTGCTGCCATCTTGTGGTCATCCAGATTTTTTCAACATAAAGCTGATAGTCCTACTTGTAATATTATCTTTTATTATTCTTATTTTATAGTTTTGAAATCCTCTTTAAGTGATATGAGGCAACGAGCTATTTTGCATAAAGGCAGTTTTTTCCCAACTTGCTGCACACACGCATGCGCACGTGCACACACAGACACTTGATGGGCTGTGTCTAACATAATTCCTAGCCAGCAACTCTCTGATTGTGCTTGTAGAGGATTGGGGGATTGAAGAGCAATCCCTTTTGGGGATACCATAATGGGCAAGTGTGTATTCAGATTTTTTTCTATCCTAATTTGGTTACACAAAATATATGGCTGGCACTTATAGGTTTTTTAGATATTTTAATTTCTTTTTTATTCAAAGAGTACTATTACAGGAGAAATGCATTAGAGTAGACTAACAAAACATAACCTTTTCACAGTAGTAATAGTTTTGTCAACAGCTGCATTTGAAGCACAAGTGTCCACATATCACAATGCAAATGAGTCAGAAATTACTCATGCTGATTAATTTACCAGGAGACACAGAACATGATTCTGTTCTGTTCTATTCTGTTCCCTGCAAAATAATTGGACTAGATTAATCTGAATGTCAGGAATTAATAGCAGTGAAAATAAAATTATGTAACACAGTCCATGGTAGCTGTCTGCAGTTTATGGACGATGAGAATTCAATTCAGATGAAATATTTTGTGCATCTATCTGGGTATAAGCGTCACTGAAAAGAATACGACTTCTCAGTAAGCAAAGTAGGGGAAGCCATAATACTTTAATTAAAGTTTGAAGAAAAGTAGACTGCAAACAATGGGCATATCATTTGCAAAGCTATATACTACAGTATGTTTTCAAACTGTAATTATTGGGCTCCATCTGTCTCAATGCAATTTGAAATGCCACAGCTTAACATAGTCTGAATCAGGACACCCTGTGAGGGTTTGTATTGTACTTACTGAAAAAAGGGGGAAGTTAAATACATTAATAAATCACACAGAAACACCAGTGTTATCCAATAATCCACAACTTATTAAGAATTTCCCAAACTTCCTAATGAATAAATAATTTAACCCACCAGTCTGGTTGTAATGCATCCAGTTCAGAATCACTTCAGGTGCTCTGTACCAACGAGTTACAACATAGCCTGTCATCTCTGTGTCTGTATGTCTTGCTAAGCCAAAATCCAAGATCTAAAAACATTAAAAAAAATCTTTTGCACAATGACAAATTTACAGAACAGGGTTGCCATGTATCCAAAACAATAGCAAAAAAAAGAAGAAGAAGCAAATTTTGTTTTTTCAGAACGCTCCACAAAGTTTCTTAAGTTCTTCCTAGAAGCAATAGATTGCTATTATAAAGCCATTGCTTTATGTGATGACTAAAAGCACCTTTAGTTGGCTTTAATGATGCCAGCTGAAGGCCTTTCCCCATCGTTGAGCCAAAGGGCAATCCATTCATCTTTGAGTCAGCAGGAAACTACACTGGCTCTCAATGTGCTGCCTAATTACAATGCCTAACCTGCCTCTGTTGCCATCTGTTCTAAGACACCATCAACTTGTGTTGTCTTGATTTTGTGGGTACAGCACGTGATAAGCCAACAATTAGTTGATCCCTCTGGCTGTGCTGTCCTCTGTCTTCAGCATGTCATCAGTCACAGCACTGCAGCAGGACAATATCATCTCTCCTACCTGTGCCCTATCATCTGGCATCCCATTCTGTCATAATCCACGTGAAATAATATTTTTTTTAAAAAAAAACAACAACAACAGGCTGTGGTCAGGAAGGACTCTGAGTCAAAAATAACACTTATTTTAGACTTCCCTCTTCTTCCTTTTTCAGATATACCACAAATGCCAATTTTCAGTGTTCTGTTATGAGAGGCAAAAGAGGGGTTGATCCCATCATTCAATGCCATTTTTGCCTTGGATCAAACCAGTAAAGGTATAGAATTAAAGAATTTACAGTACTGCCAGCTATAGTGTGCAATGCTATTTCACAATTCTGAATAAGCCAATGACACTACACTGTGTCCAGTTGCTAGAGCAGAACTGGTGCAGAAAAGGGTGACAGGAAGAGAGAGGATGTGCCTTCATCACCTGAAATAGTCAATAATAATTCTCTGAACACATCCTTGACCTCTGTCATGTAGTGGTGGAAAAGCATAACAAATTTTGCCCACCTTGAGACTGTCATTGGATGCTGTTGATATAAAGGGGAAACACTGCTTTAACACTGGTATAGCTGAGGATAATTTAAACCAGCCTCAGCCATGGAGTAGGGACAAGAGGAAAACAAGCTAATGAGAACAGAGAAGCAAAAATACACTGCCAGGGCATGTTTGTACCATGACTAAGTACAGGTGGGAAAGGCCTGAGGGAAACCAGTTCTCTTTCATTTTTTTTTGAGTGTTATAATCTTGTTTAGCCAAGACTCAGCTATTTTGCCAAAACTCATGTTCTAAAGGTGTGCCAAGCCTAGCTATAAATCAAGGGCAGAAAGTATAGCAATAGTACTTAGAGACTTATATACCATCCCATGCTTTACAGTGCTCTCTGGGTGGTTTACAATATCAGCATATTGTCCCCAATAATCTGAGTCCTCATTTGATCAACGTCAGAAGGATGGAAGGCTGGGTCAACCTTGAGCCCCATCAGGATCAAACTCCAGGCTGTGGGCAGAGTTAGCTTGCAATACTGAATTTTAACCACTGCACCACCAGGACCCCTTCCTGTATACTCCATTCCCAAGCACTGCATTCTTCCATAGAAAGAGTTCTGACAAATCATTCAAGAGGCCATTACCGCGGGATTCTGAAACTGAGAGTGGGTTGTAAACTGCATTAATATTACTCTGCAATTGAATTCTTAGCCCTTTGCAGTGTAATTTTAAAACTGGGAACAACATAAACTCTACTTCTATGTATTCTTGTGAAATATAAGGGTTCTTCCAGGTGAAGGCTCTTTGCGAACATACTTTTTTTCCTGTTTAATAGAAAATATATTTTTTTTCCCCCAAGGAAAGAAAATAGATCGAAACATAATAGGACATATGGGAAGTTTAAATGATGTCACCTAAAATTCCACTTCAAATAAAGCAATTACTTAATAAAATTCAATAAATGTGTTGCCCAGGTACATTTTAAATTGGCTGATTTCAGTGAATCTATCTTTAGATATCCCATCAAAATAGGTAGATGTTATTTCCAAATAAACACATCTGTGTTGCAGAAGAAGGTGAACTGAAGATTCGGAACAACATAGTGAAACCAGCAATGCAATCTACTTTTTCATTAAACAAAAACAAAAATCCTACCTTTAATTCACAGTCTTCATTCACCGCTAAATTGCCTGGCTTTAGATCCTGCAGTATATGAAATTAAAAACCTCCATTGTCACTATCGCAATTTGATCCTAGAGTAGGTAATTACATAACCAGCACATTCTTTCCTCCCATCCCAGAGCCATGAATCGGATTTTCTCCCCAACAGGCACCTAACATGACCCAGGCTGTCTGCTGCCCATTTGGTCCTCAGCACTGAAAAAGCAGTTTCCTTGGCTAAAAATTTGAATGTGACCAGCCAGGATATTCAAAGGAAAAATCTGCTACTGATTAGTATATAGAATGTCAGCCAGGGAGGTGCTGTAAGATTTAGGCACTCTGTTCCATCAATCTTTTTTTTTTAATTTTTGATTCAAATAATTGTTAATCTATCAACTTTATGATTACTGGCTGGAATCAAAGAGGCTGTTTTTCTTAATTGCACCTGGATTTGTACAGCCCTGATGCAGCTGCTCGCACATAAATATTACTGAAGCTGAAGATGTAAGTGTGTATGAGAGACATGTTGAACTATGGTGTCTCTTACATACATTCACAACCTTTCTCTCAAAACGTTTGTGGCCTGTTGATCTGTTTGTGATTTTGTGATTTTTTTTTTGTGATTTTATTAGATTTATACCCCGCCCTTCTCCTGGCGGACCCAGGGCGGCTTACAGCAAGCTAAAAACAGATAAAGACCCTACAAACACCGTTTTAAAATACAATTAAAAGAAATATTAATTTTGCCGTTTCATTTAAAATTTTTGTTAACACCCAATATAAAATCCAATTAAAATCCAATCTAAAATACCCCTCAGGCCAGCCTTAGTCATCCTTTCAAGCCATCTGCCATGTTTGCTGCCATCTCAGTGTTAATTGGGTCTGTACAGGTGAACGTCATTGTATGTGGAAGCCATACCTTTTCCAGGTTACATTCTGTGATGGGGTTGACTTTTCAAAGAACATCCTGTGAGGAAGGGAGGCAGGACTTCCCAAAAGCAGGGTGTCCATTGGAAAGGGGAGTGTAGGCTGCAAAGGTGCAAGAGCCAGGTCTATTCAATTAACTTTTCAGTTAGGTGCATTAAGCAAGGGATAGGCTAGTCAATTTGAGGTCTTTACACAGTCTAGATCGGCCATGTTTGGCTAAAACACATTGAAGAATATGTGCAACCCACATGAGCCAGATGAAGGGAAGGATCCCACAGCAGAACTGCTAGCCCAAAGGTACCAGAGCAGGGAAGGAAGGTAATACATGACTTCAACCTGCCATAGCAATGGGCTGACTCTGAGATGGAGGCTGTGTTGTGAAGAAATGTCCTTGGGAAACAGTAATGGGGTATGCTTGTGCTACAGTAAGGAACTGCATGGATGAGCTCTTAAACTGTAACCTGGTTCCCACTAATTTAATAGTTTTCTTTTAAGCTCAAAAATTGGATACAATTTAGATTGCACTCTTCTTGCTGGCTGACAGCAAGTTTTTAACTCGCTTGACAGCTTTAGCAATATTTTGCCAAGGGAGGGAAGGACACCCAATCTTCCTGCTTTGCCAATCCTCTACTGGCATAGATGTTCTACTAATAGTGCTGCACAAAACAGCAGTGGATTTGCCAGATCTAAATTTCCTTATTCTTCTTAACAATTTTCTCCCAAACACCCGATACCATGTTGGCAAGTTGCCTTCCATTTCATTCAACAGGAGGAAAAAGGAGAAAACCTGTTTTCCTGTCTCTCCCTACTGTGCTGCTGCAGCAGAATAACAAGCCAGAGGGGATAGTAGTCAGTCTACAAAGACCTTTCATTTCCCAATTCCTCTGTTGTAATTATTAAGAGCTAAATTCCTCTCCTTCACCACAATTAACGAGAATATAAATGGTCTCCGAGGTTCTGAGTATAGTTCTGCAATTGTGTGGTATGTACTAATAGGACAGGGTGAAACATTTCTGCTCCATGTGTTCAACCAGGGAAGTGTTCTTCCTCTTTGAAAGGGACCTAACAGTCTCTTTCTAGACATGCATTTCCCCTCAATTCTGTAATGTTTTCATTGGATTATTTCCACGTTTAAAAACTGGCCTCAGGGCATGCACAAGTCCTGTCTAGTGATGTCTTCTGCTTGGGTGACATGTAATATGTTTTCCTCAGGCAGTTTTCAACTGCCATAGAAAAAGGTGAGCCAACAGGCTGGATTACAGGGTTTGATGCTAAAATGCATGAGGGAAATGTCAAATGAAGTACATCTCAGTGAGGATAGAATGTATTTCCTGAGCTGAGATGTGCCACGTAGCTCCCAACTTCCACCAGCAGCAGAAGAAAGGAAGACTGGAGAGACAGAAATTCTTATGTGAACATTGCACCGAGACTTGTGTTTATTAAGACATTGGCCCGAGCATCATGTGGGGTATGATCTGGGCCCTGCTCCTGACAGCAAAAAGTTTTGGATCTGCACAATGACTTTTTCCCCCTCTTTCTAAGGACAGATATGTACAATTTGGCCAGGTTCCCATATTAATATGGTTTGCTAGTCTTTGGCTTAGCTTGTAAAGTGGGAAGCATTGCTAAATAAATCCTGATTTAGTTAACTAATTCTATCTTTGTAAATATATGGAAGGAGAACATCTCAACTCTTCTGTTGTTTTCCTGGGGATGGGTTATTTTATAAGGAAGAATCAATGGGCTAAGAAAGAAAAAAAGGAACTTAGCAATTTCACACATCCCCCCCCTCTCTCTATTCTTGCATAAACATGTTTCTCCACATTAATGTTACAAAGGAAACAAGTTGGGGATAGGATGATATCAGATGAATAGGAGCAGCTGTGGTTATTTGAAACATGCTGGTGGGCCCCGAATTAGGACATTGCCACCAACTGCCAAGAGGCTTCTAGGGAGATGTGCAGGTTCTCTTCTGGGGGACAGAAAACAAAGGTCATTTGGTTTTTAGCACAGCAATAGAGATTAGGTGATCTTTTTACATACCAAAGAGGTTTGGAAAGATTGACAACAAAAGAAGTTTAGGAATATGCACTAGTGCAGTCTTCCATAGCTTGGTGCCGATGGCGTTTGTGGCTGGGAGGATTATGGGAGCCACACCTGGAAGGCACCAGGTTTCAGAAGGCTGCGCTGGTAAGCTGTACACTCTAGAAAAGAAATAACTTTAAAAAGAACATACCCTATGAATGATTCCAGCAGAGTGAATATACTGCAAAAGAAGAAAAACACCACATGAAGATTACATACAGCCTCCTCCATAATTGATATTAATCAAGATTCCAAATAATAGAGCATGTTTTATGTAGTATCGTAGGGTACACAATGTATCTTTGCATATGGATTAATTGTCTCAAAACAATCCTTAGAAAGTGGAAACACTGTTTCTACTGAAAAGAAAAATAATCCAATATTCTCGAATTCTTCAGAGCTTCTTGTCAACAAGGATAAAGCAACCCTAATGAGGCCTTTTGTTTTTGTGAGGGGGACTCTGGTGAAATAAACTACTTTCCCTGCAGCTTTCTCATGCCTTATCTTTGCTAAGTCATGAGCTCTGGCAATCTTCCATTACTCTTCATATGCTGAATGATTAGCCCCGCAATCCCCAGGGGATGTGGTCACCTCTGGATGGGCATGATAGGAGGTGTGAACCAAGGTGAGGACACTGATAATGAACAATTAACTACAGAGATAACAGCCATCTTGCTCATAACTTGACCCAATTAGTTCATGCCCCGACTCACATGGGGGGACACACACTAGATCTAATTTTTGTCTCTGGCCAGTGGCAGAATGATCTGGATAAGGGGGACGTAGTGATAGAGCCCCTGTCATGGTCAGATCATTCACTCCTCAGGCTGGACTTCCGGACCGCTCCCCCCCGCCGCAGGGAGGAGGAACCACTTAGATGGTTCC